AGACAATGACACAGTCTAAGTGACTTCCTCTGGGTCCCTCCAAAGCAAAGCGTCCTGGGGTAGAAGGCTGTGTTCTTCCCACCGCACGTATCAAATTCCTTATTTTCTTTGGAAGATTCTAGAGCCATTTTTTTTTTTTTTTTTAGATAGAGCCTCAAGCTGTCACCCTGGGTAGAGTGCTGTGCCGTCACAACTCACAGCAACCTCAAACTCCTGGGCTTAAGCGATTCTCTTGCCTCAGCCTCCCAAGTAGTTGGGACTACAGGCGCCCGACACAGTGCTCAGCTATTTTTTGGTTGTAGTCATCATTGTTTGGCAGGCCCGGGCTGGATTCGAACCCGCCAGCGCTGATGTATGTGGCTGGCTCCTTAGCCGCTTGAGCTACAGGTGCCGAGCCAGATTCTAGAGCTTTTGCTCAAGATGGAGGTTAAGAGACTCTCTGAAGGGCACGGGGTGATGTGATGGTGGGCAAGTCCTCCAAACACCAATATCCACCCTTTTCAATGTTGAAAGTATTTTTTCTGCATTAACTGAACACATAGACCAAACAATCAGAATAAAAAAGAATCAGAAATGCACCTTGAACACTAAGGTTACAAAAAAATAGACTGAGGAACAAAACTGCCTGTCGGGTACTTTTCCCGTGACCACTGGCTGTCTCCTCTCACTGGCTGGAGACGACCAGAGGCACACAGCACTTCTCCAGGGGGGCAGAGTGGGGAGAAGCCCCCATCAAGTGGGTCCCACGCTTCTCCCCCCTTCCCCTCTGTCTAGCTGCGTGGTGGAGACAGGCACGCTCCTCCTTCAGGATAAACTCTTCCTTATCTGGGGCAAACAGGTGAGTAGCTTTCTTCTGGAGTCGTGCCTTCCCTGCAGGACCCCACCTTCCTGGAGTGCTGTGCCACCCCTGCCTGGCCCGTTCTCGCCTGTCCTTTGCACCTTCATGCAGACATCCTCTCCAAGCACTTCGGCCATCCTTCCTGCTGCCACTGCCCTGTCTGCTGCCACTGCTGCAGGCAGCCCCACATGTTCAAATCGCTGCCTGTGTCTGTCTGCCTGGCCACATCACAGGCCAGCTGCTCCGTCAAGTTTGCGAAACAGAATTACTCACAATCCCTCAGGCTCTATTTCTTATTTTTATTTATTGTTCTTCTTCTTTTTTTTTTTTAAATACAGACTCTCACTCTGTTTCCTAGGCTAGAGTGCTGTGGCGTCATAGCTCACAGCAACCTCAATCTCTTGGCCTCAAGCCATCCTCTTGCCTCAGCCTCCCAAGTAGCTAGGACTCTAGAGGTGCCTGTCACAATGCCCAACTAGTTTTTCTTCTATATTTAGTAGAGATGGGGTCTCGCTCTTGCTCAGGCTGGTATTGAACTTCTGAGCTCAAGCAATCCACCTGCCTCAGCTTCCCAGAGCGTTGGGATCACAGGTGTGAACCCACCAATCCCTGAGGCTCTAAACACAGGCTCCCACTCCAGACATGCCCACAGGCTCTAGGCCTCTCACCAGATTAAAAACGGCTGTAGAATGAGGGAAAGAAATATAGGTTGAGGCTCGGCACCTGTAGCTCAAGTGGCTAAGGCGCCAGCCACATACACCTAAGGTGGCGGGTTCGAATCCCCAGCCCAGGCCCGCCAAAAACAACAATGATGGCTGCAACCAAAAAATGGCCAGGCGTTGTGGTGGGCGCCTGTAGTCCCAGCTACTTGGGAGGCTGAGGCAGGAGACTTGCTTGA